TTTTTAAAGAGCAACATGAAGACATCCCCAGCGCACCCATCCTCCAGCTAAGGAAATAGGACGTGTCCCGCACCCAGTGCTGCATAGCTCCCCAAGAAGGCTGTTCCAGTTTATGCTCCCACTTAGGATTTGTGTGAGTTTGCAAAAGGGATAAAGACTTGAGATGGCTTAGCTTGTTCAAGGAGCGGAGTGAGTAGGCGGCTTCTGTTTAGCCCCAGGCCTCTGCTCAGTGGGGTGGAGACCACAGCCTGGAGGAGAAGGATGGAGGCAGGTTTTCGGGGGCTGGGTGTGAGGGGGCCCGTCATGAGGCCCCTGTCTTGGAGGTCCCTGGATGGATAGTCCTAGAAGCTGGGAGCCAACTAGAAGCTTGCTGGGGAATCTCCTGTGTGGGAGGTGTGGGGGGGCCCTTCAAACAACCACTTTTCAACCAAATGAGCAAATGCTTCCCCTCTGTCATCCAGGGACGGTAATTTATTCTAGGGTGAAAAATGAATTCCCCCAGGAAGCTTTCCTGCTGGAGACCCTGGAGCCTTAAATTCACTGCTTGCCTTCTGTACTGACGGAACTGAGCCTCAAGATTTATATCCAGGGCTTTGTGGGCAGCTGGCTCTGGGCTGGTGGGAGTCCCGGAGGGCAGGCGGGTGGGTGCAGCTGTATTTTACAGTGAGGCTAGGCCCCAGGAGGGTGCACATCAGTGGTCTCCAGGGTCCCAGGAGAGGCCACCCAGACTGAGCCACAGAGCTCACTAAACAACTCTTGACTGAGTGCCAACAGTTTTTTGGGAACAGAGCAGTGACTAAGACCTCGGTGAACTCTGCCCTCCAGGAACTCCCAGACACAGCTAGCGGTCTCCCAAGTGGGGTGCGTGAGCCATGCCCAGGAGAGTCTCCTGAGGAGGAGGTTGGGAACAAATATGGAGAACTTCCATTTACATTTATTTTCTCTCACAGTTTAATTTGTTTCTCTTTTTGCGTATGTTGTATAATGTGCATGATATACAAATATAGTAATATATGGATACTTTATGAGTCATATGGATATGTCACTGCAGAAGAATGCACATTTTTTACAGATGGAGTGCAAGACTGAAAAGGTTTGAGGAGGAGCCCTGCCTACCTGTTGGGAGTATAGTAGTTGGAAGGACCCTGAGCTGGGGTCTTGGAGGGCAAAGAGCACCTGGCATTTACTGAGCACCTACCATGTGCTGGGCATAGGCACAGCCCTTTCTGTAGAGGCCGCAATCCTACCAAACAATGGGAGGCAGGGATGGTTAGCCCCATTTTGCAGATGAAAAGATTGAGGCCCAGAAAAAAGAAGGTTTGTTTGTTTGTTTTGTTTTGGGTTTTTTTGGAGATGGCATCTCACTCTGTCACCCACGCTGGAGTGCAGTGGCACAATCTCGGCTCACTGCAACCTCCGCCTCCCAGGTTCAAGCAATTCTCCTGCCTCAGCCTCCCTAGTAGCTGGGACTATAGGTGCCTGCTACCATGCCTGGCTAATTTTTGTATTTTTAGTAGAGACGGGGTTTCACTATGCCACTGTGTTGGCCAGGCTGGTCTCAAACTCCTGACCTCAGGTGATCCACCCACCTCAGCCTAAAAGAGAAGGGTTTTGCCTAACTTAGTGCCTGAGCTAGGATTGGACTCTCGACCTTCCTGTTGGCCAGTTTCATGGTTCCTCCTTTTTCTACATTTCTAATTTTATAAAACCACTAAGATGTTTGTTGGACATTTAAACTAGTTTTAGTAATTAAGCACAGCAACATCAATAAACAAAGACAATTGCCGTGCAATGGACCCCCTTCTGCATACAGAACTGATATGGACATATTTCTCTGGCTTCTGGCAATCTTTAAGAAAATAAATCCTCTTAAATGAAATGACTTTTTCTCAGATTAAGCATGTAATTGTTGTTAAATATAGACTATTTTGAAAATAAAGACCAAGAAGAAAATGAAAATCATCCTCCACCTGCCCCCTCCCCAGGGCCACTCTGGTATGTTTCCTTTCAGTCTTTTATCTATCATTTATTTTTTGTTGCTGTCATACCACACACATTATTTTATGTTTTGTTTTTTCTTCACCTGGCTTTACAGGATCAGTATTTCCCTGGATTATTAAAAGCCCTTGAGTTGCAGCATGCGTCATGGAGTGGTCATTCCAGGCACGGTTTATTTACTTGCTCCCCCATGGTTGGACATCAAGGTTGTCTCAGCACTGGGCTTTTTGTTTGTTTTTTTTTTTTGAGACGGAGTCTCCTCTGTCGCCCAGGCTGGAGTGCAGTGGCACGATCTCGGCTCACTGCAAGCTCCGCCTCCAGGGTTCACGCCATTCTCCTGCCTCAGCCTCCCGAGTAGCTGGGACTACAGGCGCCCGCCACCTCGCCCGGCTAATTTTTTTGTATTTTTAGTAGAGACGGGGTTTCACCGTGTTAGCCAGGATGGTCTCGATTCTGGATCCTCCTGAGGCTGGATACGCGCCCCGCCTTTTTTTTTTTTAGTAGAGGTTTCACCGGTAGCCATGTCCGATCCCGGCTGTACTGCCCGCCTCCCCAAAGTGCTGGGATTACAGGCGTGAGCCACCGTGCCCGGCCAGCACTGGGCTTTTTAAATAAGGCTGCAGTAAGACTCACCTTTCCTGGGGCTGCCGTCAGCCTATCATGCAATTCATGTAGGCTTTCCCCCCGCAGATGTTATTTCTTACACTTGTCATTTTTAAGGGCCACATAATCTCCTGGAGTATGGCTATTCCTCATGTTCTAGGCCATTTATCCCTCTCCACATTCCATGAGGCCTCCCACTTCCTCTGGGAAGTGCCCCTAACCCCAGCACCTTTGATTCAGGGAACCAGTATTCACGGCGAGGGCAGGGCTGTTGTCACCATCGCCTGAATCCAGGCGTTTGCTGCCTCTCCTGCCTGCCTCCTGGCCCTGGCACCCAGCCCCGCAGATGGAGTCCTTGTTTCTCCTTTCATTCATTCATTCTACAACTGTTTAACTCATACATGCCAGTCACTAAGTGCTGGGGTACGGTAGTGAATAAGACTGAGTCTTTCTTCTTGTGGAGCAGAGAAGATGGACCAGAAATGGGACAAATAAGAGTTCACTGGGGGAAGAAGTGCTGGTTGGAGGACAGGGCAAGGGGATGAATGATAGAAGTTGATGGGGTAGTCAGGGAGGGCCTTCTAGAGGAGGTGACATTTGTGTGGGGCCCAGCCAAGGGAAGACCTGGAAGAAGAGTGGTTCAGGTGGAGGGGACCACAGGAGCAAAGGCCCTGGGGCAAGAGTGCACCTGGTGTGTTTGAAGAACAGAGGCCAGTGTGGTTGCCATACCGTGAGAAAGCCGAAGAGTGAAATGGTGTAAGGGCAGAGGGCTCAGCAGGGGTGCCAGGCCGATGGAAGAAATATGGGTTTCTTCTGAGCATCATGGGAAACCTTTATAGTGCTTTAAGCGGGGGGTGGGGGCGTATGGGGTGGGGGGTGGGGGGGGGCTTATGTGGGACCTGATTTCTCATTCCTGAGACCTTGCACCTGCTGTTCCCTCTGACTCTGTCGTCTTTAAGCTGAAGGGACCTCCATTTCCTCATCTGTAAAATGGAATAAAAATGGTACCTTTCTGCTGGAGAGGTGGTGAGAATTAAATGAGCCAGTGTGACGGTCAGTGCCTGGTATGCAGTGGGTGCTTGGTTGAGCTAGCTGTGTATATTCCTCCTGAAGGAAGCTGGGGGGCTGAGGTTTGCTTGCTGTGCAGAGTTCACTGGAGCTGCTCTCTGGTCTCCTTCAAGCCTAGCCTGCCTCCTCCTTGCAGCTCATGCCTGTTTCCCCTGACAGTCACCCTAGGACAAGGTGGCTCTGCACAGCTGCAGTCCCTTTCCCCTCCAGCTGCCTCGGTCCCAGAAGTGGGGGCCCAATTGGCCTGTGTCTGCTCTGAACTGTCCTTTATGTGTGAAATGGGCCAATTCTACCTCCCAGAGCTATGGGGAGGCTGTGTGGGCCCCATGGGGGCTCACTAACATCAGGTTCAAAGGTATTAAATCAAATACCTTTAAAAATAATATTTTTTGTTGAAATCTCCATAATATGGCCGGGCGTGGTGGCTCATGCCTGTAATCCCAGCACTTTGGGAAGCTGAGGCAGGTGGATCACGAGGTCAGGAGTTTCAGACCAGCCTGGTCAGTATGGTGAAACCTGTCTCTACTAAAAATACAAAAATTAGCTGGGCATGGTGGCGGGCGCCTGTAGTCCCAGCTACTTGGGAGACAGGAGAATCGTTTGAACCTGGGAGGCGGAGGTTGCAATGAGCTGAGATCGTGCCACTGCACTCCAGCCTCGGCAACAGAGCGAGACTCTGTCTCAAACAACAACAACAACAACAACAACAACAACAACAACAACAACAATACAACTCCATAATATTTGTTTGGGGGTGTGTGAGTGCCTTGCCTCAGTCCTGGCCCCACAGGCATCCTGGAAAGAGGTGGCAGGTGGCCCCTTGGGGAAAATCGACAGCAATTGCATTTGATTCTGCACTTAATTTAATGAAAAGACCCTGTAGGGAGGCAGAGGCAGTGAGGCAGTGAGGCAGGAGTGGGCTGCCTCGCTATGGGCTGCGGGCAGGAGTGATTCCAGAGGAGATGTACGGGTGCTTCATAAGAGATTCAGATCTAGGCTCAGTGCTCTGGGATCCTCCTCTGCAGTCTGAGAGGCAGGTGTTCTAGGGCTCCCAACAGTTCTAATTGCTGTGCGAGCCTGGGCAAGTCATGGCCCCTCTCTGGTCTCTGCAGCACCATTGGGCATTCTGGAGCCCCTCCTCTGCCCATAGTCCGTGGTCCCAGCCTGCTGCCCACCTCCCACTGGACACGTGTTTTACAAGGATTTCCACACAGCGAAATCCTCTTCCCTGTAGCCAGCACCTCTTCCCCGAAAGTTGTTTTTCCATGTTACAGAGGAGGAAACTGAGGCTCCAAGAGGTCCACTGATATGCACAGAGTCACGCAGCAAGCATGGGGGCAGCAATGGGGTCATGTGGCCCCTTCGCAGAGTCAGGAGCCTCCACAGTGGGCTTGAAGGACACTCAGGATTTGGACGAATGGTGACTTGATTCTCCACACAGCCCCACATGGATTCTGTTCTGTCGTGTTTTATTTTCCCTTTCAACACAGAAGGGCCAAGAGAGTTATGGGACCAGCCTGGACCCCACAGAAACTAGTGCCAGAGCAAGAATGCAGTCACCTCCTGGTCCAGCTTTTCTGTCTGGCTTGTCACAGAAGTCCCTGGGCCTCCATGACTTGAGCTGAGCTACTCCCCTCACCTGCTGTGTGACCCTGGGCAAGTGACCTGACCTCTCTTAACCAGAGTGTCTTTGTCTATAAAATGCGGATGGCAACCCACCTTTCAGGGTTGCTGGGAAGATGAGATATTGGCAAGTGGCCTAGGATAGCAACTGGCATCCATTTCCTCTTGGAAAAATTCTAATTCTAGGACTGCTGAAACTATGGAGGAAATCTGACTAGAAAGGAGACCCTCCTTTTCACAAGTTTTGGGCTTTGCTGGTGTGGCCCCTCCCAGGGTGGAGGAGGAGGGAAGGAACTTGGCGTACACTGGTGGTTGCAGATGGCAGGCAGCTAATTTATTTACCTCTTCCTAATAAATATGCATGACATATAAATAAAATATCTCACTTGTACCACTCCACCCAGATCCCGGCAGACAGTGACAGTCAGCAGCGTAGCTTAGAAGCAGGTGTCTGTGAGCATGTGGAGTCTGGCAAGGGGGTTAATGAGCTGATTATTCTTCCTTTAACCTAATTTCTTGCCACACATCCAGCAGTGCTCAGAATTCCCAGTTAGGAGGCACTGGGCTTTCCCTCCTGGCCTCCCAGCCTCCCAGCCTCCCAGCCTCCCAGCCTCCTGGCCTCCCAGCTGAGCTCTGGTCAAGGAAGGCCCCAGTAACTTGTGCTCCCCTTGGACCTGGGCAAGACTGGACTGGACTGCCCTGGGAAGTGGTGGGCCCTGATCAAGGTTGCTGTCAAAAGCGTTCCTGTTCTGGCTGGGGGTTGGACTAGGAGGCTTTCAGGACACCTCTCGAGACATCTCTTGTGATGGTTTCACCACTGAGGTGGGCCTAGGTTTGTAAACTTGCCCTGCATCTGGTTCATGCACTGGCCTCATCACAGGGCTCCCAGCCCCCCAAATCCGCCCCCCCCATCCACCACTGCAGTCAGTCTCTTCTGCTGCTCTTACCCAGCTCATCCACGAGCCAGGAAACCCAGTTATAAGACAGGGTAAGAATTCATGGAACTGCCACCCCCAGAGCCGAAAGAAAGCTGGAGAGGGGCAGGGGAGCAAGGGCAACCTATGGAGTCGGGAAGACCTGGGTTCCACTCCTGCTCAGTCACTTGCTCTGAGTCTCAGTGTCTTCCTCTGGGAAATGAATACATAGTCAGTGTCTACCTAACAGGGTTGTTGTTAAGACTTGTTCACTCATTCACTCAACAAATGTTTACTGTGCAGCTACTACGTGCCAGGCACTGCCTTAGGCCCTCAGGACACAGTGGTGAACACGACAGAGACTAGGACCTTGCCCCTGATGGATCTTAAATTCTAATGGGCAAGTCAGCCAAGCACATGTCAACAAATAGATGTGCACGCTAATTAGGTCATGGAGTGAAAATAAATGAAACAGAATCAGGGGATAGAGAGGGAGGGAGACTCCTTCTCAGCTGAGATGCTTGGGGAAGACTTCCTGAATGATGAGAAGGAACCAGCCCTGCAAGGAACTGCATGCACAAATACAAAGGTCCTGAGGCTCAAACAAGCTTGGCATGTTCAGGAGAGACAAGGGTGGCTGCAGCACAGTGAGGTGAAGTGGCTCTGGACACGAAGCAGATATCTGTTGGCCCTCCCTTCCTCTCTTCTCCACACCTCCTGCTTTAATCTTCCTGTAATCTAAGAGTGAGGGTCACAGATTCCTAAAACATCCAAGCTAGAAAGACTTGGTGATTTGTGCAAAGACCCCCTTTAGATCCATCCAGATGTGCCTAAATCTTGTGGGTGGCCTCCGGTCTCACCCTGTGCCTACCTTGCAGCTGTATTTGACACTTATAGAAGAAGACAGACAACTCAATAGAAAATTGGGCTAGTGACTTGAGCAGTGATCGAAGCAGCCAGTAAATGCATGAAAAGGTGCTCAATAGCTTCTCACGTGAGGAAAATGGAAATTAAAACCACAGTGGGATACCTGCCAGGAGGACTGACATTAGAAACTTTGACAATTCCAAGTGTTTGCACATTTGTGTGGAAGTGGAGCTGTGAGACTCTCATACCCTGCAGCGGGAGTATAACTGTGGCTTTCCTGAGGAGTTCCTGAGATACGAGGAGCAACGCGTCATGCTCCCTGATCGCTATCTCTCTCGTCTCCCCTAGCCTGTCTCCCTGGCAGCTCTGCTGCTGGATTCCTTTTCCCATTACTTCTCCCCTCTCTCACAGTCTTTCCTCTGTTGCCCCACTCCTCCGCTTTGCTTCCAAGCTTGCAAACACCAGCATCCAAAACAGAGGCGAGGCCAAACTCTATCAGTTGAGCCACGACCACCTGTTCCTTGTCACGCCTTTCCAAGAAGGCAGTAGCAGGCAGGCAGTGTTAGGTTTTAAGTGGTAGAAACCCAACCCCAACTCGCCCAAGTGAGAAAGAGACCTTCAATGCTCATATCGGCTTCAGGAAGGGCTGTATCCAGGGGTTCAATGGACAACATCAGAGCTTGGTCTTCCCATCCTTCACTTCTCTCTTTCTCTGGGCTGTTGGCTTTTCTACCTTCCAGTGGACAAAGAACATGCAGATGGCGCCAGCAAAAGTCCTGGGGCTGTCTCCCATTGGACAGTGTGAGGTCACATGCTTGCCTCTCAGCCAGTCACTGTGGCCTGGAGAAAGGACTGCTCCGATTGGATAAACCTGGCTTATGCCTATCTTGGAAGCAGTGTCAGCCCTGTGAACCACATGGACGCGGTTGTGGGAGGGAGACCCCCCTCTACAGTCAGTCTTACCTGCTGCTCTTACCCAACTTATCCATAAGCCAGGAAATCACACAGACAGGGGATGGGGGAGGGGGTCTCCTCAGAGCAAAATCAGGGTGCTGTTACCAAAAGGAGGTCTGAATGCTGGATGGGCAGAAACAGCTGATGTCCACTGTGGGAGCCTCAGTTTGTTTGGATGAGGAGGGTGGGGCTCCAAGAGTGTATTAGTTAGAGTTCTCCAGAGAAAGAGAACCAATAGATCCATCCACTCATCTGAACATCTATCTATCCACCCATCCGCCCGTCTGTCCATCTATCATCTATCTATCCATCCATCTATCATGTCTCTCCAGAGAGAGAGGGGGAGAGAGAGAGAGAGAGAGAGAGAGAGAGGTTGATTTAAAGGAATTGGCTCATGCAGTTGTGGAGCCGGCAGTCAGTAATCTGCAGGGCAGCCCAGGCAGGCTCAGGCAGGGTCTCTATGTTGCAGCCTTGAAAACAATTCCTTCTTCTTTAGAGAATCTCAGTCTTTGCTCTTAATTTCACTACTGGTTGCATCAGGCCCACCCACATTGTGGAGGGAAAAATGCTTTACTCAAAAGTCTGTTGATTTAAATGTAATCACATCTAAAAAATACCTTCACAGCCACAACCAAACAACTGGGCACTAAAGCCTGGGCAAGTTGTGGGTTTTGGGGTTTCTTGTTGTTTGTTTGTTTTTGAGAAAGGATCTCATTCTGTGGTCCAGGCTGGAGTACATGGAGTACAGCGGTGCAATCTCAGCTCACTGTAGCCTCAAACTCCCGGCCTCAAGTGATCCTCCTGCCTCAGTCTCTCGAGTTGAAATTACAGGCATAGGCCACCACACTCGGCTAATTTTTTTTTAGTTTTTGTAGAGACAAGGTCTCACTATGTTACCCAGGACTGGTCTGGAACTCCTAAGTGATCCTCCCGCCTTGGCTTCCTAAAGTGCTGGGATTACAGGTGTGCACCATCACGTCCAGCCCAGCCTGGCCAAGTAGACGCATAAACGAACCATTACGGGGAAGCAAAGGTGCTTATCCAACACCAGGAGGCAATTTAAAGATGTGTGGTCCCCTTCCCACCTGAGGCTGGGAGAAACCACTCAGGGAAGGCAGGAGAGGCCATGGGGGCTTAGCAGAGGGAGAGGGAGGAGAACCTTCTAGGGCCAACAGGACTTGGCACAATGTGGTCTCCATGGACCACTTGTAAATGAGTGTTGGCTTAACACCTGCTCTGGGTGCTGGGGTGTGGAGGTGACCAGACCCAGCCCCTGCCCCATAGGGACCAACATGAAGTCCTGTGTTGGACACAGTAGTTCTCTGAGTACCCTGGCATGCGGTGACTTAGCCATCAGCCTCTATGCTGAAAGAAGAGGCTGCCAGACACTGTCACGAGAGCCACAGAGGGAACCTGTTACCCGTGTGATGGACAGCCTCACCCCACCACCCCACCCCGTGTGGCACTAGGTACAGCCCAGAGGCCAGTCCAGGAATGGCATGGAAGGATGTGGGGTTCTGTCTGCTTCTGCTGCTGCAGAGCTGTGAGCCCTGGGGAGGCTGCTCCTCTCTGCCCTGGTCTTACGGTCAATGCGATACTGGAGAAATCAACATTTGATAAGGGTTGATGGCACACCTTGTGTTCAGCCCAGAGCCAAGCTGAGGGGAATGCTTCAGAAACAGAGGCTGGGGGAGGAAGGCCACTTTGCCCCAGGCAGGTGGCAGAGCGGGTTGTGAAGGTGGGAGACTGAACGCCAGCCTGATTGGGCCTGACTCCAGGGCTGTGGCATTCTCATCTTGGTGGGAGACTGTCAGTAGAACCTGCGTTGTTGAGCTGTAGTTGCTGTTTTCAGTACCAACCATAGAAGTTACCACAATGCCTCCCACCTGTAAAGTGCTTTCCCGCCTGACAAAGTTCCTACATGCCCATCATCCCATCCGATCACATACGAGCCCTGAAAAGTTTGCAAGAAGGTTGTCTCAGGGACATTTAAAAAAAAATTAACTTTGTTGAAGTCTAATGTATATACAATAAAACACACTCATTTTTAGTGTACAGTTTAGTACGTTTTGGCAAATGTATACATTTGTGTAGCCACCAACCCAATCAAGGTACAATTAGAACATTCCCACCAGACCTAGGCCACCACTGATCTTGCTGTTGGTATGTATTTGATTTGTGTTTAAGAGTTTCATATAAACTGAATCACAGCGTGGATATCTTTTGTCTCCGGCCTCTTTGGCTCAGCCTGTTTTGAGACCCACCCATGTGGTTGCGCGTCAGTGCCTTGTTCTTCCAGGGAGCGGGTGTACCTCAGAGCGTTCATCCATCCACTTGTTCGTGGGCATTTGTGTGGGTTCTAGTTTGGGATGCTGTGGATACAGCTGCCCTAAACACGGATATGCAAGTGTCGTGTGAATATGTGTTTCCTTTCTCTTGGCTAAATACCTAGCAGTGGGATTGCTGGGTTGCATGCTAAGTGTGTATTTAGCTTTTTACAAGAAACTGTTAGGTTCACTTTATTGGAGAGGAAATCGAGGGCCAGAGAGAGAGAAAACAGCTGGCGTGGGTCACCACATGTGAAAATAATCCAGCTCAGACGACAGCTCTTCTACCTCGCTGTTGACTCACCTGACAAATAAGGGAGGAAAAACCCATTCCTTCATAAATTCTTTTTTTTTTTTCTTTTTTTTTTTCCTGAGACGGAGTCTTGCTGTGTCGCCCAGGCTGGAATGCAGTGGCACGATCTCAGTTCACTGCAACCTCTGCCTCCCAGGCTCAAGTGATTCTCCTGTTTCACCTTCCCGAGTAGCTGGAATTATAGGTGCCTGCCGCTATGCCTGGCCAATTTTTGTATTTTTAGTAGAGATGGTGTTTCACCATGTTGGCCAGGCTGGTCTCGATCTCCTGACCTCAAGTGATCCTCCTGCCTTGGCCTCCCAACATGCTAGGATTACAGGCGTGAGCCATGGTACCCAGCCCCTTCACAAATTCTTATTAGCATCCACGTATGCACCACTTCTCTTAGTCCTCATGACAACCCTCATGATAATACCTCATGGTATTATCCCTATTTCCCAGATGAAGAACTGAGGCTCAGAGAGGTGACATGACTTGCCCACGGTCGCTAGCTGGAGGTGGTGTAGCTAAGGCTCAGACCCAGGTCTCTGTGCTCTTGGTCTTTGCAGTGAAGCAACTAAAGATGCAGGAAACACAAGACAAGCTCCCCTGGCCCTTGTCGATGACAGTGCTCATCGATCACCACAGTCCTTCCCGAAGGCTCAGCCTCAGAGGCTTTCTTAACGTGGAGCTCCACACCATGGAGATGGCAGGAAGAGAAGGGCAATGAGAGTCTGCCTCTGCTCAATCTCAGAGTCGAGGTCTGTCCTGCAAAGGAGGACCCCTCACCAGCTTGAAGGCTGAACCAGGGAGACCTTAAGCTCACATCCTCTTCACCCCACAGGCCCTGGGCAAGGATGAGGCCACTGTTCTGTTGCAAGTGAAGCCAGAGCTGAGAGGGTTTGCATCATCCTTAGCCAGCCCATTGAGGTGGGGACCATGATGACATCAGGGCAGAGGGGCACTATTTAAGCATCCACTGTGTGCCAGTGCCCTGCTAGATACTTCACAAGTGGGACCCCCAGCCTCACATGGACCTAGGGTGCATGTGAGCAACTTGGCTTAGGCCAAGGGATGAGTTGGTTTTACCTGGGCCTGGGCTGTTGTCTGTTGGTCAGTATCTTCCCAGAGGTCATGTCTGCTGGGACACCATCTGGGTGACCTTTTATCTTATTTTGATAAAGCTGTCCTGAGCAATTGAATGAGCAACCTTGAGCTGAGTCCAGAAGGAAAGGACCTTCCAGGTTGAGGCAACTGCCTGGAGGTGGGAATGTCCAGCTTTTGATTGTAGAGGAAGCAGGGCAATGGAGCACACTAGGATGGACACTGTCATTTGACTCCACTGAGTGGCCAGGAGCCAAACCATCACTGCGTGTGCCTCTCTCTGCTTTATCTCTGTGTCTTCCTGTCTCTGCCTCTCTATCAGCCTCTGTCTTTTGCTGAATCTCTTTCTCTTGGTTGTCTGTCTTCTTTTCTTTTTCTGACTCACAAACATTTTTCGATTTCTCATCGGTTTCCTAAGAAAGAAACATGCACCATTTGTCTCTTACCCAATTCATCATGAACATCACTAGTAAAAATAATCAACACAAAATAAAACTGGCATCAACTAAAACTGTGCACAGTAAAAATAGTTATTGATCTAAAAATTGACGGACGAATCTAATCTCCATGCCAACATTAAATTCTGCCAAAATCTGACGGGAGAGAATTGGAGCTGAAGAAAATAATGGGCAAAAAAGGAACTCCACAGTGGTAGAAGTTGTCTACAACTGGTATAGGAGCTACGAGCAAAGAAATGGATTGGCGAATCAAATCCTTATTACAAACTTTAATTAGGAAAGACTTCATGAAACCTATCTCAACAAAGCAAGACTGAACGTGGAAAAACTTGAAAGTGGCCTAACTGTGCTTTTTAGAGGATGAATCAATAGTTCAAGTGGTTGATGGGGTGCGTGCAGGACAGGGCTTCCTTACAGTCGTCAAAGTCGGTAAAATTCATACGTTGGTATTTGAGATGTCCTTGCTAACAGTGGGGTCAAAATGGAACCTACGGCCTGAAGAGAAGATGATGCCCGCAAGATGCTTGGCAAATGTTGCACCAGTGAGGCCATGTTTGTTGACTGGCCGGTGTTGCCCGACGGTCAGGTTGTACATGGCAGGCGAGCACCTGTAAAATGCGTATCTGATATCCTTACTTCCTCTCTATGGTCGGTGGCTCCCCACTGCTGTAAGGATCAAGTTCAAAGTCTTCCCATGGCCCTCCGGCCCAGTGTGGCCCAGCACCAGGCCTCTCACCCTTGCCTCTCCCTGCCTTCCTTGCTCACTGGTCTTTCCATTCTTGGGGAAAAACAAGCCAAATGCGAGGCTGCGTAATGAAGTGGGTTCCAATCCAGCCTCAGTTGCTGATGAGCTGTGTAACCTTGTGCAGGTTACTTAACCTCTCTGCGGCCCAGTTCTCCATCTGTAGATGGGACTCACAGCACCCGCATCACAGTGCCGTCCTGAGGATGGACGGAGTAAATGCAGGAAAGCTTTGAGAGCCACGCCTGCCCTGTGGAAGGCTCAGCCTGTGCTGTCAGCCCACCCCACGCCCTGCCTAGTCTCTTCTATCTGCCTGGGGTCCCTGGTGTGGCCAGTTCCCACGGATCTCCAGACCTTGCCCTCAGCCTTCTGGAGCTGCTCCCTGCTACACCCTCTCACCACACCCCCGACCCACTCACTGCCTTTTATAACACAGCTGTCCTGAGCCCCACAGGGGTGGGTCCTCCCATTTCCAGCACTGGCCATGGCTGCCTGCACTTAGCAGGTGATTAACAAATCACCACCTTAGGTGGTGATGGGGTGGGGTCAAGACCCACCTGCCCAAGCCTGTCCTGGCTGATAAAGGGGCACAGCCTCCATGCAGCTGCCATCTTCTGTGACTTCTCACACAGAGCATGGGCCTGAAGCTCCCCTTTTCTCCTGCTCACCTGCTGGCCTGCCCCTCAAGCTCTGGGGAGACAGGGCGGGCCTCAGCAGATGCCCCAGCAGATGCCAGCTGCCTCCCTGATGACAGCCCCTCAGTTGCTTCCTCCCCACCCTTTTGTTAAAGGGCCCGACCTTCAGGGTGGGTTCTCTAGGCTGCCAGCCTCAGCTGTGAGATTCCAGTGACTGGCGACGAACTCCCACCCTCCTGTCCGGAGTCCCTCTGTAAGCCCAGCATGCTCCTATTAAAACGAATATCCCACAGGACAATCCTTAGAGGACTGGCATCAACTGAGGGTGGCCTGTGGGCCAGCTGCTCTGCTGGGGGCGTGCTGGGTCCCCACCTCAGGTACCACACACCACTCAAAACCAGCAATGGGTAGAGAGGTGGGGCCCACCCATTTGAGGCTGGCTTCTGGATTCCTCACCCCACGTGTGCTCAGCAGACGTCTTAGACCCCAGTGTGGCCCCAGAACCTTGTGAACTGGAATCACCTGGGGGTGGTGCAGGCATATTCAGAATGCTCATCCCAGGCCCCAGCCCAAACATAAGGAATCAGCATTGTAGGCAGTGGCACAGATGCATCTTTTTTCTCCTCTTTTACTTAAAATGATAAAATATACGTGTGAGTTTAACGTAGAGGTGCAGCGTAGAGAGTAATGAAAAGTAAACACCCTCATAACCACTCTGGTTGAGAAACAGAACATTGCCATCCCCTTAGAAGATCCCCCTACCCTGCCACATGGGCTCATCTCAAATCGTATCCCCCTTCTGCTCCCCCAGAGATACCCACCCTCCTGACCTTTTTTGAAAATCATTCTCTGGCTGTTCTTTGTGGTGTTATCACCTTATGTGTATCACTGCACAGGGAAGTTTGTTTTCACCTGTTCTTGAATTTTTTATCAATGGAATAATACAGCGTATATTTTTCACTGTCCAGTCCTTTTCATTCAGCATGATGTTTTTGATATTTATCCGTTTTGTTGTATGTTGCACATTCTTTTTCATTGTTATGTAAACTTCCATTGTGGGAAGCGAGAGTCGGTGGCCAAGATGAGCTTCCGGGCAGCCGTAGCACTGATGAAAGGCCGCTCGATTAGGGACGGCACCTTGTGCCGGGCTCAGCATTGAAACTTCACTCCAACCAGCTTTCTGGCAGAGGACACGACTGATTTCCCTGATGAGCTGGATATATCCTTCTTTGCCCCGGAAGGTATCCTCCATGAAGAGCTGTCCACATACCTGGACAAAGTTTTCAAGTCCCCATCGGAGGCAGCACTCAAGGACTGGGAGAAGGCACCGGAGCAGGAGGACCTCACAAGCCCTGGACTGCAGTGAGCTTGAGCACAGCCACCTGATGCTGCTTCTGGAGCGAGGCTAGCGGAAGCAGGAGGGCGCTACAGCCTCCCAGCCCAAGGTGCGGCTCCAACAGGAGGTGGTGAGCACCGCGGGGCCGCCGCGGGGCCAGCGCATCACTGTGCCAGTGTGCAAGTTCTTCGCCCGGGAGAAGCAGCTGTATGGGCTGAGCTCACCAACCGCACCTACCACAAGCACATCGACAGTTTCATCAAGCGACAGATTGAGGACATGGACAACCACAGGCCCTTCTTCACCTACTGGCTCACCTTCATGCACTCACTTATCACCATTCTAGCCGGGTGCATCTATGGCATCATGCCTGTGGGCTTCTCACAACATGAAATGGTGGACTCAGTGCTGTGGAACCATGGGGTCTACGAGAACGTCAAGTGCGTGCAGCAGGAGAATTTCTGGATCGGGCCCAGCTCGGAGGCCCTCATCCACCTGGGCGCCAAGTTTTCGCCCTGCGTGTGCCAGGATCCACAGGTGCACAGCTTCATTCACTCAGGGTGCGGGCCTGAGTGTGAGAAGCACCCGGCCTGCTGCGTGCACAGTGACAGGTCGGGCTGCCTGCAGACCTCGGAGGAGGAGTGCTCGTCCACGCTGGCAGTGTGGGTGACGTGGCCTATCCATCCCAGCGCCCCAGAGCTTGCCAGCCACAAGAGACAGTTTGGCTCTGTCTGCCACCAGGATCCCAGGGTATGTGATGAGCCCTCCTGGGAAGACCCCCATGAATGGCCAGAAGACATCACCAAGTGGCCGATCTGCACCAAAAACAGTGCCAGGAACCACACCAACCTTCCTCACATGGACGGTGTCATCACAGGGCGGTCCTGCTGCATTGGCACCAAGGGCAAGTGTGAGATCACCTCTCGGGAGTACTGCGACTTCGTGATGGGCTATTTCCATGAGGAGGCCACGCTCTGCTCTCAGGTGCACTGCATGGATGATGTGTGTGGGCTCCTGCCTTTCCTCAACCCTGAGGTGCCTGACCAGTTCTACCGCCTGTGGCTGTCCCTCTTCCTGCACACCAGGATCCTGCACTGCCTGGTGTCCATCTGCTTCCAAATGACAGTCCTGCAGGACCTGGAGAAGCCGGCAGGGTGACACCACATAGCCATCATCTAGCTGCTGAGTGGTGTCACTGGCAACCTGGCCAGTGCCATCTTCCTGCTGTACCGAGAAGTGGTGATTGCGGCTGGCTCCCAGTTTGGCATCCTGGCCTGACTCTTCGTGGAGCTCTTCCAGAGCTGGCAGATCCTGGAGTGGCCCTGGCATGCCTTCTTCAAGCTGCTGGCTGTGGTGCTCTTCCTCTTCACCTTTGGGCTGCTGCCCTGGATCGACAACTTTGCCCACACCTCGGGGTTCATCAGTGGCCTCTTCCTCTCCTTCGCCTTCTAGCCCTACATCAGCTTCGGCAAGTTCAATCTGTACCAGAAATGCTGCCAGATCATCATCTTTCAGGTGGTCTTCCTGGGCCTCCTGGCTGGCCTGGTGGTCCTCTTCTACTTCTATCCTGTTCGCTGTGAGTGGTGTGTTCCTCACCTGCATCCCCTTCACTGACAGGTTCTTCGAGAAGTACGAACTGGACGCTCAGCTCCAGCGAGCTGGCTGTGGGCTCCAGGGACCATGTGCTCCAGCAGGCGAGAGCCAGACACAACAACCCTGAGCCTCACAGGCTTACAGGAGTCACCTGCTCCATGTGGGGACTGGCCTGTTTCCTAAAGACAGACCTCTTGTGCCTTGTTCACGTCCTCGTACTGCCGGGCATTTATTATACTACTTCCTGTGATAATCTTCTAACTTGTCTCTTGACGACCACCTCATGCGGCCAATAAATGGACTGGGAGCGTTTTAGAAAAAAAAAAGTTCCACTGCGTGAATATGCCACCATTGTTATTGATCTCTTCTACTGTGGTTGGACTTGCAGTTTGTTTCAATTTTTGACTTTTATGGAAAATGCTGCTGTGAATACTCTGGTGCCTAAACATGTCTGTGGTACCTAAATGCATACATTTCTGTTGAGTATATACCATCAAGTGGAATCACCAGCTCATAGGATATGCATATATTTAACAGCTTTATTGAGATATATTTTAGAATGTACATATCTTGAAATTTTAATGGATACTGTCAAACACCTTTCCACAGTAGCTGTACCACTTTACATCACCACCAGCAGTGTCTGAGAGTTCCAGTTGCTCCACATCCTCAGCAATGCTTGGTACTGTCAGACTCCTTACTTTGGTTTTGTCATGAATTTATAGTTCTATCAAGCTTCCCAGGGGATTCTCAACTCTTGCTGTGTATCAACACCACCTGGTGAGCTTTAAAAATACAGACCCTGGGACCCTGCCCAGGTTGTTCTGAGTCAGAGTCCCCTGAATCAGAGCTGGGGCACAGACATGTGCAGATTGAACAAGCTGCACTCCCCCAAACTCCCCACCACAAGCCTCTGTTCCACCAGCTCCCCTGCCAGGTGACAGTTCAGCTTTACTTACCCCTGGTTCTCGATGACCACTTTACTTAACCTCAGGCTGTTGTTCTTCAGGCCTGAAGCCCTTCTCTGGCAGGAGCATTGGTTTCTGTCCAGCTGCTGAGATCTTGTCTGTGCCCCGGTGTCTTGGGAGGTGTGGTGTGGGTAGGGATCTGAGGGGGGGTGGGAGGCATTGGAGAGCAGCTTCACCCAGTGAAGACAGTGGCTCTGAGGGTCCCCTGGTTTCCACTGTAACCTTCATAGACTGTGCCTCAGTGACAGCCTGTAGGGAGGGAAGATCTGACGGACGCTACTTGAGAGTAATGGGTGACACCAGGATTGCCAACACAGATGCCTACGGGGCCAGGCAATGTGAGTGAGGAAGATGGGCCTGAAATAAAGCACACACATGCCCAGGCCCACACAGACACACACCTGCACGTACAAACACTCTCCTAGACACATTCTTTCTCACATACAGAAAAGCAGAGCATCCAAACCAGCCATTCTCAACAGGAGTGATATTTTTTCCCCAGGGGACATTTGGCAATCTCTGGAGACATTTTGGGTCATCACAAGTGGGGAGAGGGTGTGTGCCACTGGCATCCAGTGGCAGGGGACAGGGATGCTGTCAAACACCCTATAGCACACAGGACAGCTCCCCGCCACCACAAAGAATTTGTCTGGCCCAAAATGTCAATCCTGCCGGAGGTTGAGAAACCCTGACCTAAAAAAAGTTACATCTCTTTCAGCTCACATGAAAGTTTTGTTCATTTCAAAAGCAGAACTTCTACCTTACAGCTTTATTTTAGGTTAAATTGCACCTCAGGTCGAGCGCCAGCTTCTCACCACTGGGTAGCTCCGGTAAAAGCAGTGCCTCTTGGCTATCTGGGGAAGGCCAGTGTTATCTTTTTATTTTCAATCCACTGGAGACATACATTTGAGAAAAATACACTAACAATGAGTTGTTGAAAAATGAAATTAAAACACAAACACATGGGGCCGGGCGCAGTGGCTCAAGCCTGTAATCCCAGCACTTTGGGAGGCCGAGACGGGCGGATCACGAGGTCAGGAGATCGAGACCATCCTGGCTAACACAGTGAAACCCCATCTCTACTAAAAAATACAAAAAAACTAGCCGGGCGAGGTGGCGGGCGCCTGTAGTCCCAGCTACTCGGGGGGCTGAGGCAGGAGAATGGCGTAGACCCGGGAGGCGGAGCTTGCAGTGAGCTGAGATCCGGCCACTGCACTCCAGCCTGGGCGACAGAGCGAGACTCCGTCTCCAAAAAAAAAAAACAAAAAAAAAAAAACAAAAAACAAAAAACAAAAAAACCCCACAAACACATGAAAACTATAAGCCACTGATCAGGCACTTGGATATTGTGGCAATGTGTGAAATTGCTGTAATAGTTTCTAACCATTGCTTCTGAAATGTTTGTTTCCAAGAGTAACAATCACTGTCCAGCAACAAATAGTTCAAAGACAGGACGGGGCCTGCAGCTGCACTTTGCATAGCTCTGCTTTTAATCTGACTGAGGCTCTGATGGCCTCAGCACCCCTGGTCCTGGTCTCAACTGGCCCAGACACCCTCCACTGTGCCTAGGGCCGCTCCCCTCTCGGCCCCCTGGCTGCTTCAGTGTGAGGGTCATGTCCCCATCCCAGGTGGGCTGTCTCTGTAGGCACGATGCTATCTGGGGTCAGCCTGGGACACACCTGCTCCGAAGACCAAAGAGGAACAGCTCTGTGATGCTGGCAGGAAGGAGGTGACGAAGGGGATTTCATCACACACACGACTGAATGTTAGACACCCCTGTTCTCAAAAGTCCTTCCTCCACTGGCGCATGTCTCCCCCATCCTTCTTCTCACCTTCACCCCATTGCCACAAACCCCTCTTCCTTTGCTTGGTGTCTGGGGCCAGACAGCCTGGGTTCAAATCCCAGCTCTGCCACTAGCCAAGTGGGTGACCTTGAGCAAGCCATGTCACCTCTCTGAGCCTCAGTTTCCTCCACTGTAAAATTGGGATAATTATAGTTCTTGTGCAAAGGTTTTTGTGAGAGTTAAATGAGTTCATATTCATAAAGTGCTTAGAACAGGGCCTGGCTTGACTTCTGCCTCTACCACAAACCAGCTGTGGGACCACGGCAGGTCACTTCCCCTCGGCAAGTGGTGGTCCTTGAAGTTAAAAATGCGGCCTCACAGGGTGCTTGTGAGGCTCTGGAGGAAAACGCATATAAAGGCTGCAGCACAGAGGCTGAGGCTGGAAGGAGCTGCACCTGTCACAGCAAGAGGGGTGTGGTGGAGGAAGTGGCGCTGGCGTGTGCGTGACTGGTGTTAAAATACTGCAGCACCCCCACACTCGCCGGGAAACAACTGGTTCCCGAAGGTCTCCTCACCCAATGTCTCCTGGTCTCTCCCCCAGAGCCCCGGATCTCCCACAATCCGGCAACCAGAACTTTAATGCGTGGCCCAGCAGGGCCCTGGCCATCCGGATTGGCTAAGCCCATTGCCCTGCCTATATCCCCTAGACCTCCCTGGGACTCCCCCAGGGCAGCAGACTAGGCACCACACCCTAGGGATCCAGTGGCTTAGAAAATGTACCCTCTCTTCTGACCTCAGTTTCCCCATCTGTAAAATGGGTGGGTTGTAGTTTTGACCAGAAGCTTTCTCTGACACAGCCCGATTCTAAGAATTCAGCTTTCTGCAACCATGTTAATCGTTTTCTTCCCCAGCAGTCGTAATTCCAGGCAAGCAGGCATAACTCAGTCTTGGCTGTCACTCCTGAATCAGGGACAGGAAGGAGGCCCTGAGTACATTGCAGAAGATGGAAAGTGGGTGGGAGGCAAAGCCCCACAAGGCGGGGCATCTGGGCAGAGTGGGGAAGGCTCTCACTGCAGCCCCTCCCTGTAATCCTGATAGCCCAGCTGCTGCCTGTCGACTGGATTGATTACTCTGCTAGCTGCCTGGCCAGCATTTTCCCTGCATTACCCCCACAACAGCCCCAGTGAGCAGGTGAGGAAGCCGAGACATGGAGAGGGTAAGTGATGCTCTGGAGGCCACACAGCTGGTGAAGGGCAGAGCTGGGGTTGGAGTCTCGGTTGTCTGACTACACGGCCTGCCCATGGGGGTTGTTTGCTGAGTGCTCATGGTGTGCTGACCTCACGCTTCACATCCAGGCCTAGAAAGCTGGAATACATCCCTAGCTACTTCCTCCCTCGTTCTCACCTGTCCCAAGCTATGCAGGGGCCCCATCCCATCTCTCTCTCCCTCCCACACAGGCATACTTCTGGACCCCTTCCCAGTTTTGCTTTGTAGCTGATCCTGGCACTAGCGATGGTGGTGGGGATGGTCCACTTCCAATCTCAGACCCCAGACCTTGTGCTACGTTAGTCAGGTATGAGTCCCAAGGAAACACTCATGACAGAATGAGAGAGCATGGGCCTTAGAACCAGATGGCCTGGGTTTTAATCCCAGCTCTGACACTCCCTTGCTGTGTGACACTGGGCAGGTGACTTAACCTCTCTGAGCCTCAGGTTCCTCCTCTGTGAAGTGGACACACTTCTCCTGGCCTCACAGGGCTGTGTGTGTCTGTAATGAGTCACTACTTTTCTTTAAAACATGTCCGTGACTGGCTGCCTCTCACGGCCCTGGTCTGCGTCCCGGCACCTATTAGTTGTATGGTTGCAGCAGCCTCTTCACTGGTCTTCCCACACCACCCTCACTCCCTCCTCAGTCTGTCCCTCTCCTGCAGCCACAGGGATACTGTTAAAACCTAGGTCAGATCACTCCTTCCTCTCTTCAACACCCTCCCAAGGCTCCCACCTCCCTCTGCGGAAGACCAGAGTCCTCACTGCAGCCAACCTGGCCCTTGGTGGTCTGCCCCTGGGACCCCCCTGACATCCTTTCTGCTACTTCCTCCATCACTCAGCTCCAGCTTTGGCCTCCTTGCTGGGCCTCAAACACACCAGGCACGGTCCTGCCCCAGGGCCTTTGCATGGGCTGTGTTCTTTGCCTGGCTCAGCAATCTGCATGGTTGGGCATGGCTGGGTCCCCCATTCCCTTCATTTGTGTGAAGACTTGATCACAGAGACCTCCCACTACCTCATAACCATCTCACGCCACTTCATTTTTCTTCAAAGCGCTTATTTCAACCTGTATTGTGTTACGTATTGATCATGTCTTTGTCTGTCTCTCGGTGTAGAATGTAAGTGCGGGAGCCTTATTCACTGCTGGTGCCTGAGAGCTGCCAGCACACAAGCGAGTGAATGAATGATGGGCACAATTGAATGCTTTGGGCCTGGGAATAAATGCTACTGGATTATACTGCTGTCATCATCATGACTGTTTCTCTCAATGCTCCCACTGCCAGGGCCTTAAGAAAATCTTTGTTTGAGGACTAGAAGAGTCCCCAGTGTGTGTTGTGACCTTGTCATCACCCCTGGTTTTCCTTATCCCTGGAGTGGTGGCATCATCCTGAATCTTGTGCTGTCTCTCCTGACTCCTGGGATGCCATGACTCCTGGGATGCCATGTCTCCTGGGATGCCATGACTCCTGGGATGCCATGTCTCCTGGGATGCCGTGTCTCCTGGGATGCCGTGTCTCCTGGGATGCCATGACTCCTGGGATGCCGTGTCTCCTGGGATGCCATGACTCCTGGGATGCCGTGTCTCCTGGGATGCCATGACTCCTGGGA